TGCTCTGGTTCATGGGTGCGTCTTCTCTCCGAGTGGAATGATCTGTGCTGTGTTTCTCCATAACTTGGCAAAAGGCAACGGCTACAGCATTTCCTCACCATCGCGGCAGACTGTTCCATCTGCGCCAAAAAGTACTGCTACCGTGGCTTTGTTTTGAAAAGCTATTAATCTAAATTTTTTTGAACTGTTATTAAAAGCAAAGCAATAACTTTTACAATGTTTTCAGTCATATCGGCATTCGCTGCCCTGCTCTTCCATCCGCCATGGCAACAACGGCAAAGGAGGCTGCTGTGGTGTATTTGCTGCCACAGTGTGAATGTGCATGCTCTTGTTCTTGCCTTTTGCCCGTTTGTGTATCACAAGCATTCACAAACAGTTCGATGCATTACTGTACAAGGTCATAGGCATGTTTTCTTTTGTACGTGTTTCAGTTAAAAAAAAAAAAGTAGCATTGTGTTGAGGATGTTTAGACAGCGAAAGGTCGGCCTGCCTCGAATGGTGCCAAGCTTGCCGCTGTAGATGAGGAATTTAGCCAGGGCAGTATGACCGAAAGCCTGGGATCTTTAACGTGCATCATGTAGTAGTGATTACACAAACGCCTACTGGTATGATCCTTGTCCAGATCGAAATGAGCAAGTGCTGGGATTTAGCCCACGATCCCAGGTTCTGCAGCGCAAGCTTTCGCTCCACATGCCCGGAGCTGAGACGTGCTAGCCGACTCGGGCCACCGTTCCGCCATGTGTTTTAGTTGCGTTCAGCACTATTGTGAATTTGAAGTTATTTTCCTAGTAGTTCAAGCAGGGGAAATTGAAACTTCTATGGTACAAACCAACATTTTTGCTAGAGTTTGCAAGCCGACTGAAAGTATGAATGCCTTTTTAAAACCATCTAATGTCTTTAGGTACATGGGGTATGTTCTTCCCAAGTGTGCTAATTTCACAGCAGACTCCTCCGGCTTGCACAGACGCCGCAGTTTCTACAGTTTCCCAAATTAATGTGAAACAGAGTGTAGTGGATTGCATGCAGGCCTACCCTCTTTCACACTTGAAGAGGTGCAATGTTTTCAGGTGGCTGTAGGTAAACCTGGTATATGGAGAGGTTTATACGTTTCCCATCACACACAAAAGTAGTTCTTTTTTTTTTCTCTTTTACTCGACTGCCAAATTAGCAGGAACAAAGAAAATTGGACATTATTTGTCGAGAAGAAGGAAGGTCGTTCTGGCAGCGCATGGTGACACTTTGTCACGCTCTATGTGAGAAATTTGACTAGTGCGGGTACAACCGATAGCCCAAAGTCTTTAAAATGATTCATATAGCAGTAATGCACGCCCATGTGTAGGTGCAGTGCTCATCCAGGTCAAAACGGGCAGGGGCGATCAGTGCAAGTTTTCGCTCCACACACTGCGAGCTGCAGTGGGCTAACACACTCTGCCACCAGGCCCCTCCACATCAGCACGTCCTGTCGAAGCAACGTGCAATTATTACTACTGCTGCTGATGGGGGCACGCACACGTAAGGAAGGAAAATAACAGCCAGGAATTCTGGTAAGGGGAGGATGCCATACGTCATGGAACACAGGAACAGTCTTGGCTTGAATCCTTTTTGCTTCAGGATCACCATCACTACTCCAAGCTCACCACAGACTTTGCATTCATGGGAGCTTTCTCCAGCAACCGTTTCTTTTTATGAGACACTGCACCGCTTGCAGTGGCAGCTACTCTACGACACCTGCTCGCTGATTTACAGCTGCCCGGCCCGGTATGTGGAGTCACGATAACCTGTGGGTTGCACCTGTTGTGACTCTTCCTTGGCGGTTTCTTTAGCTTAGTTATTTTGCATGGCACCAAGGTTTAAGGTTCTCTAGGACTTCAGGGTCATGTGGTAACTGCATTTTCCAAAGTGTTTCTGACATTAAACAGCAAGCACCCTGGTTGTGCTTGTCACTATGCCACAGTCACCTGTGTGGTGCATGAAGCAGTGGTTTGAACCATTGAAGGGTGCACTGGTGTCTCTTAAGCTGTCCTGGGCACTCATCGGTAAGTAATATTTGTGCTGGTGATCCAATATTCAACGACAAACATTGCAGCAAGAAGTTACTTTTCAGTGTGCACACATTACTGTTGTACAGCCTAAAATATTTCAACGGTGAAGAATAGGAGAGTGACTTGCTTCAGGCTACTGGAACACGTTATTGTGTGGGCCTTTCTTTTATGGAGGGGAGGGGAGGCGAGAGCAGAAGAGTAGCAGAACCAGGCACAAATAAAAATTGAAAAAATCCGCAGCGGAAAAAAATAAATAAATAAAAGCAGTGTGAAGAGTTGCGTTGCTTACACGTCACAAACTCGTGTCAAAAACGCAGGCTATACTCTGTTTCACCTAGTGTTGTACCGCAGGAAAGGCTACAAGCGCGAGCTCCTTGCTCTAGAGCACAGCTCGACGGTACAAGTTCTCGTGCAACAAGGGCAGCTGCCAACGCTATGAGCTCGCGCTTCTGGCCTTCTCTGCGGTACAACATAAGGTGAAACTGAGTATAGACGGAGAACGACTCATTATTAATCCGAGACGGGGACACAAATAATAAAACGAAGAGACGCGCGTGTGGTTGCCCTTCACTTTTATTTTTTTATTTTCCCCTTGTTTTTCTTACTCCGCAAAGCCGACGCGCAGAAGTAGGAGAGCAAAGAGGCTCCTCGGCGGGCTTTGCCGTCTCGCGCGGTTCTGGGGTATTCGTATTCGAGTTTGGATCATTGGTAAAGTGTATGGGCTGCGCGGAACTGAGCGCTGCGTGACAACCATACGTGCGTTCATCGGTGGTTTTGTACGTCACCACCATCGGCAAAGTGGGCGACTGAGCACGTCTACCGGTGCAAGGCGAGCTTCGCGCGGATGATCACGGAGGATGATGATAAAAGCGGCCGACGCGATCGCGGGGTGAAACGGTCGACGGGACAATACGCATTCAACCGGAGTCTGGGTTATTTAATGCACAAGCCCTAGCACGTCCACACACACACACGCACAAAGAAACATTACTTGTGAAACTGGAACGGAATTAACACAATACAATTTTCGCATAAAATGCACACAATCGCCGATGTCGTGTTCGCGTTGACAGCGCGGTTTGTCGGTCGTGGGAACAGCGCCGTCACTTTCGAATAGCCAACAAGATCCGACCCGACATGAAGAAGTCGAAAGCGCCATCCGCCGCCCTCGCGGCTCTCCGCCGTCACTCTAGCCGATGTATTTTTCTCCTAGCCGAGCTAAACCATTTGGCGTAGTCAAGCCAAGACGCCTTGAAGTTTACTTTTCGGCCGCTAACAGCGCCTGACGAGGTCGCCCGAGGTCGTATCACTCCCACCCCACCTGTCCCCTCCAACCCTTCCCCACATTCCCGAGACCCGTCCGTTCCCCCTTCCTCTCTACCATAATGACCCGTCCGTTCCCCCTTCCTCTCTACCATAATGACCGCAGCCTTCTTAGCATACGGAGCGGACCACCCCACCCACCAAAAGCTCCCCACGTTATCGCTGCAATCAGCGTGAGACTCACTCCCTCTCCCCCTCATTAGGGAGGGTCCCCGTTTTGAAGGCGGATTCCGGGCCGGATTCCGAACTATACCCCTAATTACAATTATAATTACTTTATTTAAAATGTAATTGATTACAGTAACCAACTACTGTACCACAAAAGGAATTGAAAAATTACCAGAAAGTAATTGATTACTTTCACGTTACTTTTTAAACTTTTTATTGCGAAATCAAAAACGCACACATATTTGAAAGCAGTTACATTTTGTTTCTTTTTGTCATTCACACCTTGTTAAGCTTCAACACTCAAAACGTCGCTGAGTGCGTGGACATTCTAAAACTTCTGGTATCTTGGTACCTATTTTGTAGTTCTTTGGGTGTCACAAATATGCCCTACGTTGGTGCAATATAGAAGAGTGGTGGATGAGCGGACAGAGCGATGTTTATGTAAAAAAACTAAATCTTTTTATCGTTTCGGAAACATATAATTGATTACTTGTAATTGATCGTAGAAAAATAGTAGTTGAATTAGAGCAAACGTTGCCGAAAAAAAAGTATTTTTTCTTTTTAAAGTAAAAGTAAAAAGAAAGTAGAAAAAGAAAATGTTAAAAAGATAAAATAAAATGTATTCTATTACTAGTAATCAGTTACTTGTAACTCGTTACGTAGAAGTCGGGACTGGCGAGTGACGTCACAAGGGTCACTAGAGTCACGAGTGATGACACGAGTGACGTCATGAAGGTCACTCGTGAAATTCACGACGGAGGTCACAACTTTCACAGTAAATGCCACGTGAAGGTCGCGACCTTCATGCGACCCTCACGAGTGTCACGAGTGACGTCACAAAGGTCACTAGGGTCAGGAGCGACGTAACGAAGGTCACTCCTGAAGGTCACGACGAAGGTCATGCCCTTCACAGTGAAGGCCACGACCTTCATGAGACCTTTACGAGTGACGTTACGAAGGTCACGGGGGTCACGAGTGACGTCACGAGGGAGGAGGGGGAGAAGGTACCGAGGAGTTGGAGGGGCATAACCTCCTCTTTCCGACCCTCTCCTCCTCCTCAAGAATTGAGCTCTAATTCAGCATTAGAGCGAATTGTAAACGTCGTTTAATTTTAACCATGCAAAGTCACAGGAGTCCTCCACGCGCCAACCCTATATTCAGCTTCCCGGGCGTGCCATCCCGGCTGGTTCTCTTATCGCAAACACATGCGAAAGTGACACATAATTATATAAGTAGAGCTCAAGCTTGAAGGATAAATTTAATATTAGAGCTTATCTCTGGGTACTCACCACAAAGTTTGCAACAAAGCTTGTTTTAACGGTTTTATTGTGCTCAGTATTCTTGGTGCCTAGACTTTCAAAAAAGTAACCTTTATTCTCTTCTTTTGATGGGAAACTACAATCGTGTTTTGCGTGCACAGTTTGACCTAAAGTGTTATCTTTTGAGTCGACCAACAGGGCATGGTTGTTATTCCGAAACTGAAACACATTCCTCAGCTATGCAATGCTTCGGAGGCTGAAACAATACGAGTACGAGAACAGTTTATTTCAGACACACGACCGCATGTGATTTTTTATTTATTTATTTTTTTTTGGGGGGGGGGTCTATAGTTTTATTGGCAACGAGAGAAGTGAAGGTGTAAACCCACCTTTTTGCTGCAAGGTGTCCCGTCGTCGGCTGGTACCATCAGATTCCAAGTTAAGCCATTTTCATCACGAGGCGTTTTACAATGGAGAATACATCTCTGCAACATAATTTCCTGCAAGGAATATATTGTACAGCTCTTTTGGTATGTCTTAGTGGAGCTGTCCAACTTTAAATACATCGGATAATTCACGGAGTACATGAGCTTTTGGGAGGAAGCGCCCGGGGGGGGGGGGGGGGGGGGGGGAGGGGGCAGGGAGGGAGGCGGCAGGGGTCTCAGCATGTTACAGCACCCAAGTTGGAAGTCTAAGAACGTGAAAACTAGGCCCACAGAAACGAGGTATAAAGTGCTAGATATTCATTCTTGCTTCCGTGGATATTGAAATCAGAGTGCGCGTTCGTGTTGTGAAATCAGTACTCGAAATGCACTTTAAAGGGCCACTGCCAACTCCAAAATCTCTACTTTCGTATTAGAGTCTTTGAAGACCGTATTCTAGAGTTAAGCTTCGCTACAGGTAGTAATTCGTGCCGTCACTTCGCACCATGGATTGAGCACGAGCCCGCTGAGCCCGGTTCCCAGAAGCACTAAAACTCTCTATTGAATACTTTTAGGAGATTGTACGCTAGAGTTTCGCTTTGCTAGCGGGAGCTTGTGTCGTCATTGCTAAGATTGGGCTAAGCACACACCCGCTGACCTCGCTTTTCGAAACGTTCAGTCTACTATATCTATATCCTTGTTTTTTTTCTTCAAAACTCACAAAATGAGTGATATAACATTAAAATGTCGCATAGGAAACAAAAAAAAAAACAAAAACAAAAAAACATTTAGCATGCAAAACACCTAGTTAACGAACCGCGTCCCCTTCCGCCAAACTGAGGGGGGAGGGGGAGAGAGATTGCGCATCCTCGTTTCTTATCTTGATGATGTAGTTAGCGAAGGCATTTTTCACAAATTCGCAGAGGTTGCGAACTGCATGTCTATAGCAAAAAAAAAATAATGACAAGTGCTTTTACGAAAAATTCAAAGTCAATATAGAAACTTGGAGCCCGACAGTGCTGGTGACGAGACATCGGTCGTCACCCGGCTTTTGTTCATTCTATTTTAAACATGGTGGCGCTCGGCATCTGTCCTAAGGACAATAAGAAGGATGAGGGCGGAGGGAAAGTCAGCGAAGGCTCCGACGGGTTATTTTTTATGTCGGAGAAACCAAGAAAATTTAGTTATCTTTCGCGTCGCTCACCAGTCTACAACGCGTTGTTTTCCGCTTTACCTTTTTAAAAAGAGTTTGTGACCCACAAATGAAAACATTGTCAAAAAGGAAAATCGGACTAAAAAATGACGTGTCCTTTGAACGCCCAGAAGGGTCCCGTGGCAAGCGTACAGAGAAGTAGGACCTGATTGGCCGGTTTGCAGACGCGAGTGCCAGTGATGGCCGTGATCGATGAGAAGGTAGCAGACGATGTTAAACGGCACTTCCTGGCTAAAGTCATCCAAGAAGGCCAGGAATGCGAAATTTCGCCATTTACGTCATGAATTGTGGCGGAAGCTTCGAGTCAGGTGTTTTGAAATATATTTTTCTTTGCGAACGTTTCTGTGCCTAATATATTTAGGGTCTTACCTAAGAACCAAATTCGGTCGTTTGCAACGTCAAAAAAAAAAAGAAAAAAAAAAGTTCATGCAGAGGTTGTCAGCGGCTTGTTAAAGGAGCAGTGCAGCGAGTTTTGAAATTTGCGCCAATGCTTCTTAGAATGAATAACTGAACTTTAAACCTACGAAACACGCGTTAGTTTTTCTTTCCACGCAGTGATATCGTGCCAGAAAAAAAAGTGAAGGCCGTTTACAACTCCCTGTAACGCCGAATTGGAGCGCAGCTCTTGAGGAGGAGGAGGGAAGGGACCCCTCATTCTTTAATATGCTCCGGGGGGTCACCTGACCTCGGGGAGAGGGGGTCACGTGACCTTGGGAGGGTCACGTGACCTTGGGGGGTCATGTGACCTTGAGGTGACCTAGGGAGGGGTCACGTGACCTAGGGAGGGGTCACGTGACCTCGGGGGTCACGTGACCTTGGAGGTTATGTGACATTGGGAGAGGTCACGTGACCTTGGGAGGGGTCACGTGATCTTGGGGGGTCACGTGGGGTACCCTTGGATGGTCACGTGACCTTGAGGTGACCCAGGGAGGGGTCACGTGACCTTGGGGAATCACGTGACCGTGGGTGACCTTGGGAGGGGGTTACGTGACCTTGGGGGGTCACGTGACCTTGGGGTCACCTTGGTTACGCCGACGGCGACGGCGACGGCGACGCCGCTCAAGCCGGAAATGGACGCTAAAAGCTGCGCTCTAAAAATAAAGAGCGAGCAGCCTTCACCCCCTTTAACTCCTAGCCAGAACAAGCCGCCGCGTGGGGTGTACCTCGAAACAACGCATTCTTATTTGAACCCTTCTCGTTTGAACCCATTCGCAAAACGCACTTCTCGTTTTAACCTTTCGCGTTTCGACCCTTTCTTATTTAGACCCGTCTCATTTGAACCCATTCTCATTTGAACCCTTCTCGTCTGAACTCATTCCCAAAACGCCCTTCGCGTTTCGACCCTTTCTCATTTGAACCCGTTGTCATTTGAACACCGTAGTGAGGTATAAAGAAGGAAAAACAGTTGAGGATCACGGTTGAAGATGAAGCGAAGCGGCACCATCTCTTGCATAGCACATGAAACAATTTTTCTTATACCTGCGTGCCGCCCCGAGTCTGTTGACGTAGCTACGTGGTCACATGGTGACGTGGTTTCAAAAGTGCTAGCGCAGCTTCGGTACTTCATTTCCCTTCTGTCGCTGTATGTCGTTAAGATGTCGTCGTGTGGAGCGGATGGATCATTGTTCTAGTCGTGTGTTATTGCTCGTAATGGCCTATTCGGGCGGTCATTTTCCCTGAAAAAAAGTTTTCCCATATCTTCGGCAAGGGCGTTCGCGTGGTCAAAGGCTGGCGGGTGCAAGCTTTTCGGGTTGCGCTTCTCAGGTGTGTACCGGCAATTTAACAGCAGAAGTTTTCCCGAGCCCCAAGAGGTCGGGCAGCTTGTCTGCCAGACTGTATCCGGTATCGTCACATCCGAATCGGGATAGGGAACCAAACGAAACAATGCTCGCTGAGGCGGCAAATAGCGGGTTCGAGTGGCAAACGGAGCCATCGAGACAGGCACCCTTTTGTGCTCTGAGACAAGATAGCAAAAACAACGAAGAGAAAGATAATTTATGTTTCAAAGAAAGTCAACATTTTTGCAAGAATTTATCCAGCCTGAGCAAGGTGTGTTTTCTCTGAGACACGGGCTGCATGATACACACTTTATTTTACAACTCTGTAATAACAAGTTGTTACACCGCTGAAAAAAAAAGTATGCATAGTGATGTAATTTGAAACTTGAACACGCATTACAATTTCAAGGACGGTGGGTGCAATGAGAAGACTGAGGATTCCAAAAAAAGGTACTAGAGAGTTTTAGTAGATCGTTCCGATACCCCCGATAGCCCCGATAACGATACTTCGAATGCGCAAGGGAGGCGGTTGCGGAGTATCGGGTATCTTTATCGGAGTCACGGGAACGATCTACTAAAACTCTCTACTAACAGTAAACAGAATATGAAAAGCGACGCTGGCAAGCCACCGTGGCAACAGTTAATCGAAAATCCAAACGAAGTTTATTGAAATTTGACGTGCGTGCGGGCAGCACCACACTGATTTATACATCTGCCCTTTCATTGATTTTATATTTTCATATTTTGTCAGCTGTACGGACTGTGGTAATGCCAATATTTTGAAAAGTTTTGTGAAGCCGCTTCTGTTTACACACATCTCAAAGAGCCGTAATTTATGTTGTTGGCGTATGCAGCGTGCTCATGGTGCCACAAAATGATCGAAAAAGAAGTTAACAGAGCTCACTCGCGACCCAGTCAAATAAAAACGCCAGTTCATTGTGCTTTGCATTCGGATGGAGAGGGTCACGTGATGCGCCGCTGGCGCGTTGTTGGTTGCCGGTGCCACAGGCAAGGGCTCGAAGGCAATTAACTACCCGAATTAGCCGTAAATACCGCAGAAAGATTGCGAGATCATGATGTTTGATTAATTTGGGTTCGAAATGAGATAGGTTAAAATGAGAAAAGTCTTTGTGACAGTGGTCGAAACCAGAAAGTATGTTTTGAGAAAATTTGAAATGAGAAAGGTTAAAATGAGAAAAGTTGTGTTGAGAAGAGTCAAAACCCGAAAGTTTGTTTTGAGAACGGTATAAATGACAAAGGGAGAAACGCGAAGGTTGCTTTGCGCTGGGTTGAAATGAGAAGTTAAAAACGAGAAGGTAGAAATGCGAACGGGTTCAATTGAGACCCGGCAGTGCACACACGAGCCGAGTTCCAGATATTGTTATGGTAGGCATTTGGACTGGGAAAGCCCCGGCAGCGCGGTGGTGATGAACACGACATGCACGATGAGGACGACCTGCTCTTTTGAACCGCCGCGCGAGTCTTGGAGGTTCGGTGGCGGTTCAGGCCTCCGAACCTGACAAGGAAGCAACGGCGCGTCGTCCTCCCTTTTACTGACTCGCTCCCATGCAGACACAAGATGATGGGAGGAACGAGACGTTCTTCTCCTTCTCCGGGCAGGCGGGAAAAAGTTTCTGTCCTCCCACCTCATCTTCTTTCGGTTTCGTTTTTTCGAGCACGTCGCGCACGTTGTTTAATAGATGCTGTTGAGTTGATAGAGATTCAGCGGCAGCGAAGGCCGCCTGTAATTCAGTCTTCCTGTCCAAACGTGCAGAACATTTCGGTTGCATTGACGTTTTTACCACTAATTTTATAAAGCGAGCAAACGAAGCCGTTAAAAACAGCGAAGTTCGGGAGCAGCGACAGAAGCGATACGGAAAATAGACTAAGATGGCCGCCTTCGGAATGCGGAACGACGTTTGGACGTTCACGACGTATGAAAACCGCGGAGACTGTGTCCAAGACAGGCGGGTTTCACTGCCAGGTGCCTGGGTGCCTCCTGTGCTGAGTTCGGTTCTGTTTTCCGATGCCGAGTTCCAACCGGCAAATCAACGTGGTTCTGTATTTCTGCGTGTCGCCAACATAGC